CCCAGCACTGGGGACTGACCCATAATCTCTTTCCCAGCCAGTATACCAAATCTGTAGCCAACCTTGTCACTGACTCCAACAGCTGCTTAAATTCACCAGAGGGGATAGCAGCAATCCTACTTCTAAAAGAACACCACAAGGCTTACGTTCATGATGCCTTGAGGAGACACTGAAAGGAAGGTCAAAGGTGAAGAAAAGATAAAGTGCAGTACAAGAAGATCAGTAAAGTTGAATCTTCTTGATGGAAAACTCATGTCTGTTTCTTCATGATGCAAACAACATAACTTCATTTCAAAAAGCTTCTGGGTTTTGTTGATTTTTTTTCCCTTCTCTTTTGGTTTGGAGTATTTTGAAGTTTATTGAAGTTTTTTTCTTTTTTTTTTAGGTCAGAGCTCTGTGCATCTAAAAGCCTTATTCAGTTGTTCTTGTCACGAGTACTTTGTCTTACACAGGCTGCATTACTCTTGTAAACAGAGGCAGCATCAAAGTGAAAGCAGATAGAGTCACATCAGTGGATTAAGGCCTTCTGCATGATAAAGTAGCTACCTAGGGTGGGATAAACTTAATATGTGAAAGAATGTTATTGAGGAGGAATAAAGTGCCAAAACTCTGTCATTCTCTTAGTAATGTCCTAATCTAATGCCTGACACCAAGGCCTTAGGCCAGTGTTAGTGTTAATCAATGAAATACCCATCTGTGTTCCCTGTCCTTATCGCTATTTAGAACTAGCCTAAACTCAATTATTTTCCCTTAGAGACCAAGATGGGATATTAAGTTGAGTGAAAGGGATTGTGTCTCACAAAGAAATCCCAGTGTTAAAATGCAGAGGTGTCAACATTGCTAACTAAATTTCAGTTAAACAGAGATTAAATGCTAGTTCTTTGGACATGAAACACTGCATAGATTAAATCTGGTTAAAAATCCTTATTTAGAGAGCGGCTAAAAACTGTTAAGCAGTTTAATCAACTTATAATGTAAATTTTGTTCCCTCATATGCATTATTTATCCCCTGCAATAACTATTGTACAATAAATGTTTGAAGAGCACACTCACTAAAGCAATAGGAAAGCACAGCCTCTTGCTGTTACCCAAAGCTGTGAATGATACAGACATTGCCAGATATATAATGGTTATCTGAGGAGTATGTAATTTATCCCACGAGTGAACTGCAAATCTCATAATTCAAAACTGCCTTAGTCACAAATGAGTTATGGAGGTGTTTTTCACAAGTGGGAATAATCTCACATCCCATCGATACTCACTATTGTATTTTTGGTTCATATCACCAAGATAGAAATTATTATCTTTCTCATTTTATTAAATTTTGAAACTTGTTTGGCTTGTCTTTTTGTGTCTTTTTTTTTTTAATTAAAACACTATGAACACAGGAAGACTGCAGAAGTACATAGCCATTAAGGGCACTTCCAAGTGGGTATATAGAAAAGAGATAAAGAACCTCCAAATTAACAAGGAATAAATACTTTCAGCTGCTTTGTAATGAGCACTTTTTTGGGTTAATTTCTGAATAGTCTCTGGGCTGAACTCACCATATGCATTTCTTAAGAATTTTCTTTTCTGATTCCTTTTTTAATTGTAAAATAATTGAGAGTGCTTTATTACCCCAAGCACTTTTTTTGCCAAAACTTTTAAGGCTGACAGTCAAAAATGCTATATAAATGAGCAGCAAAAACATTTTATTCTAAATGAAGAGACATGCATTCTCTTAGGTGTATATGAATAAAAAAAGATACTGAAGTGACTAAAATCAGGTGAGCATTTCTCTGACTATCACAGAAGTACCAGAGGAAAAAACAAAAGGAACATCTCTTTGGATCACTTTCTCTGCTAGCATTTCACCAACTGCAACTGTCCTCGTGGTACTGGTCTAACTCTCAGTATTACTTTTTGTTTCTCTTTGAACTACCACTATAACTTTCTCAATTGCCAGTGTGCATCTTTGTTTAGCATCTCAAGCAAATTAACTGAAGACAAGGCAATAAACATTTGCTTAACACTGGTAAGCACAGCGTGCTGAAATGGGCTTTGGTGCTGTGAATGTGTTTTTCTTCTTCTTAGTCAGAAGTATGGGTATAAATGCAGTGAAGCTGTCTGACTGTGTGGATCCATGCTCTTCCTCTCTTCTCTAGAGCAGAAGTTACATTTAGTATGTACTTTCTTGTTGGCATGCAAGATATATGTTTTGTCAACTGCAGAGTAACCTCTACTTTTTTAAACTTTTAAGTCTTTTTCATTTAAAAAGTAAGTAGTTTCTCTCTTGGTTACTTGGGACCCCAGATATGGGAACTGGTTTTTTGTAACACACAGTCAAGAGGAAAAAGCAAACATGATTATGTGAGGGTGTGGGGTCATGGGTTGTTTCATTTTGTTACAAGAGGGATACCATATTTCAAATTATAGGCAGTTGTGAAATTTTGGTTTACACAGTGCAAAAAATGTAAGCAGTTCTTGGGTCATTTAGCTGTTTCTCAAGGTGACAGTTGGAAAAGTTCATAAAAAAACATTGTTTGAAGCCGAAAAAGTAATTTGTCAAGATTTACAGGCAGCATTAAAGACTTGAGGAACTAAGGGATTCAAAAATCTGTTTCTAACGCAGCTGAGCGAGCTTTGGCTTGTACTTCAGAAAGCACTGTATCTTCCTGGGTTAGCAGAAATTGTTAATGATAATATAGAATAGAAGGTTGGTGCGAAGGCTACTCTTAAAAAAAATTATGCTTTTTAGATCAATTCTCCTCTCCAAGGTCTCAGTATTACTTTGACTGAATAAAATTGTTCCTAGAGGGTTGCATTACAAAGGCTGAGTCTACCCTATTTTGATGATTCCCAAACTTAAAGAGAGGCACACACCACAATAAATAAAAAGACCCTGCTAGTAGCAGGCATTTAGAAGTCCCACACTGGTGAAAATTTGAAGCCAGCTGTATACTGGTCTCATCACAAATCAACTTTTCATGTTCACAGCAACAAACACTAAAAGAATGTGCTGGTTTAAAATTCTTAGTACTTCTTTACTTTTTTTTGCCTTTCAAATTTAGGGATACTTGAGTGGCTTTAGGTGGATTTAGGGTTGCATTGGAGGCTAGGGAAGAATATCTGAAGAGGTCATTGAAAACCTGGCACTTATGAACTAGGGCAAAGTTTTGCTATTTGCTTCAGTCTCCAGTCTGGCATTAGAAGGCAGTGTTGTTATGGCTCCCATCTCACAAGACAGACATAAAACCATAGATTCATCCACATGTATATAAATAAAAGTCCAGACTCTCTGCCATGAGTTGCATCAGTTTTATTAATACTGCAGTTCTAATTCATTCTTCCTACTCTAATCCCCTTGCAATTGTTACAAGCAGTTTACTTTCTGTCTGCAATCGCTGGATACTATTTCTGTGCATGATAAATACATGCACACTGCACAAATGGCTGCATTTCAGTGACAGTTAAATGCTTCCTCGCCTAAGCAGTTTGCAAGAAGTATGGCTGACGACTTGAAGTCCCTTTAGGAAACACTGTGATCTTTGAGATTCTGGTGGTGAGGGGGACTTAGGCTAAGCTCTGGTTGTTCACGAAACACACTTGATACAGCATGATGTTTTCCTTCTTTCAAAATTTTAGTGGTAAGGTGTCCCAGAAAAAATGAGAAAGTGCCACAGATTGCCTTGGAGTGCATCACACACAATCTGAATCCAAATCAACAATACATTTGTAGGAAATTATCTTCTTTTTTACTGATGGAGAACTGCTTTTACTGACAGAGAAGTGAGACAGAGAACATACCTCAGACACACAGGTAAAGCTAAGGAAAGGCTCCCCAGTCCCCTATGAACCCCCACTCTGTTTCAGCCATGGGCCACTCTCACAAAGCCATGCTGGTGCAGAATAGCTCTGCCCCACCTCCATCACAAGGCCGGTGCTATAAGCTACAAGACAACCAATTTCATGCAAAGGACACAACCTAATGCAATTCCAATATAAATTATGTATGAACATTGTAGCACAAGACAGTCAGAAAGCACATTGTGTAATTCAGCAATTCAATCACGTTTGTTGTTAGTGTACAGTACTCTATCCTACAGTTGGAGAGGGGAACTGTCTCAGAGTCAAGTGGATCAAAAACAGTCTACAAGAGCCAACTAAAAAAGGCTATTGTACTTAGCTGACTGAAGTGGAGAACGAAGTACTCTCCCTCAATTAAGGAAAGTGTGGTGGAGCTGATTAACCTGCTTGTTACCTTGGTAACCTGAGATTTAGATTGTGAATGAATAGATAAGGCTGTGGATACCTTTTATCAGATAAGAGTCTGATGAACAGTGGAGTGAGAACTACAGGGCTGAGAGGTACTGCCACTTAATCTGTTTTTGAGACAACACTATTAATTTATCAAAGGTAGTCAGTGCTACTGTATTTGTAAGTCACCAATAAATGGCATGACAGCCATATGCTATGCCCCAATCTGCCTTGCAGGCTGTGCAGACAGACCTAAACACTCAAAATCTTTCATTGGTGCAACTCCCCTGAGCCACCACAGAAGCTACCTGGCTTTGGGTTGGGCTGAGATCTCACAGCATCCCCTCAAATCATCTGAGCTCCTGTATGCAAACTGCCCACACTTTGGGCACTTGTGCACCTCATCTCTCTGCTCACTTCAGTCTTTGTCTTTTGTGCATCTCAGACTAATGGATAAGACTTCATATTTATTAACATTAAGCATCTTTCACCAGCTCTCCACCCCTTTGTAGAAAAGGCCTGAGGCTACAATCTCCCCTCAGTTACACCTGTCCAATCCCATTGACTTCAGTAAGATTGAACAGGTGTAAGCAAGGAGAAAATTTGGCCCCCTGTTGTCTATGAATTGCATTATCTGTGTTCACCACTTCCTTGACTTTATGTCACTGGCAACTATAATTAATTTATAGTTTGTCTTATTCTCTTAGTTGTTTAATAAATAGATGAAAACAGAAGACTCCCGAGGGACTTACTCCAGTTACCTGTAATAGAAGCTCTCCTACAGATCTCCTACAGAAACTGCTTCTTCAGGAATATCCTTCCTCTTCTTTTTATCAATTCTTTATGAATTTTCATTATCTTCTTTGGATTTTGCAGTTCTGCAGAATCAGATTTCTTGTGTACCATGATATGATCTGTTAGAAGAAAAATGGTGACACCACTAACTTCTGAAAATGGAGCTGATCTTAAACTGAAAATATCTCATATTTGACTTTTACAAAGACTAACATCTCCACTTAGCATGAGGAACAGCATCAACTAGCAATTAATTACAATAAATCACATTGCCATAAGGACTGTTGCTTGAATTAAATCAAAGGTAAAATCAAGGAATAGTCAGGAAAGACAACTGACTTTTTAGGAGATTTAACTAGTTTTGTGAGCCTAAATTAAATCTTACTGAATAACAGTTACTGTTAGAAAGCTCAGGCTGTCTGACCACCTTCCAAATGTTCCAGCACTAGATCTATTCTCTATTAAACCAGGAAGGTATAAAACTGTTTCTTGGTACCAGGATAATCAGTCAAGTGGCGACAAACACTCATCAAAAGCATAAAAGAAAAAAACTTCTCCTCAATGAGAAGAAACACCCCCAATGAGATCATCATGGCTAATTCCACTAAAATCAGTAAGTTCAAGATTAATGTACTTAAAGTCCAAGGAAAGAAATTAGCCATCCTTACATGCCTTCCATATGGAATTTTTAGCTTTCTTAGTGCTTTACAATAGGCATGATCATCATCCCTATTTTGTGTGTTAGAGAGAGGCATATTTTAGCCCAACATCATCCAGCATGTCAAGGGGAGAGAAGGGTTCACAAGGTCCAATTTAGCATGCTGTTCTCTAGGCCAAGCCTGTTGTACACCACAACAGGTCAATTGAGGTGAATCCCATCCCAACATGCTCACTTCACAGACACTGAAAGCTCTGCACATTTCTGTGAAAAAAGAAAAAAAAAATCTGACTAACATAGTATAGTACTTTTTGCATTTTTTAAATACTATCCCCAGTTTCCTCTAAACTTCTAGTCAAACCTAAGCAGCATTAAGAAGTTTACAGAAGCAGGGTGTTGAATGATTGACAAGTGCTTTCTGCCATATTAGTGATGCATTTAGAGTAATTATTGAATGGTCTTTAAGTCAAGAGCAGGCCACCCGCTCCACATGTGGCATTCTTCTCACCTTTCTACTAAATTAATGTCTCTCCTAGACATATGGATTTCCTGTCATGGAAACAATCTTCTTCTAGTAAAGATACAACATACTGTTTTGCTAGCATTGTGCAACTTTCAGCTGATAACTAGAGCTCAATGTATTATGCATGTTCTACTGCTCTAATAAATACAGGATTGACTTGTTTACTACCACCAGTGTTGCCTCGATTAGCACTGTGTTTCTCTAGGCCATTATTCATTGGTGAGAGGAAGTTAAGACCTGCTTGGTTCTCCATTAATCCAACTGTGTGAAACAAACTGGTTAATTTTTCAGCTTGTGTTGTTTGTTACTTAATGAGGAGAAATCGATTATTTCATTGCTATCATTAACACCCTATTTATGAAGTGCAACATCATTTATTTTTCAACTTGGAGCAACAAATTAGAACCTCTAGTTTCTCCATGGAGAGTCTGTCTCAGAAATTACCTCACTGGGGCAAAATGTACATCCATAGTCCATAGCACAGTGACCTGGAATAGTCTTCAAGACAAGCCTTTTGGCTGTGAGTCAGGAATGATTTTCCCTTCTCATTGCTGGAGTTGATAAAAGCATGGCATCTAGGATCCAGAGCTCATTCACTCTGGTTTCTCATCTATTTCCAAAGACTGTAAACAGGTAAATAATCCTGAATCTACCAAACTTTCAAATTCCACCCATGTTTCTACATCTTACACATCTAGCAAAGAATTCCATACTGGAATAAAACTGGACAAAAAAATCCACAATAGTACCATTTCTGTAGAGGAAAAGAATTTTAACCCTGCACTTCTCAGTAGTCAAAAAATAAACATCTCACTTTAATTTTGTATGTGTCAGCTGGAAGTACAGTACCTATAAAACTAGTCATACTTCAAAAGAAGGATGGGAACTAAAAGAAAAAAAGTCAAACAAAAAAAAAAAATCTGCTTTTCCTTCAGATGTGAGAGTCCATAGAGTGCACCCTTTTACATTGCTCTAAAACACAGCAAGAAAGAGTGTTCTTGTAGCATTTCAAAGAGAAGCCAAACATGCAGAGATCACTGTTTCTCATGTTATTTTGGAGAGAAGGACTGTGGTAGCTGGGAGACTCCCAGACAGCAACAGAAATATTTTTAAAAGGATTGACATATAGTAGTGTCCACAGGATATCACTGGCTCCCTAGAAACCTAAACCTGTCCTTGGTGGTATTATGTGAGGTGACTGCTGTTGAACATGATGATTTTGCTCTAAGAGTTCTTTCCTGCAGTCCTCAAAAGCCCTTGTAAAGAGAATCATGGTAAACACAGAAGTCAGAAAGTTACTGTATGGAGGCAGCTATCTTTTGCAGAACATAGTGTATCAAGGAATCTCTGATGTAAAACTATTTTTGCCTCTCTTCAGCTTGTCCTATAGGTTGTCACTTAAATAAAAGCTCGCTTTTGTTAGAACATGCTTCCCATCTTGTTCAGTTTGTACAGGCCAGTGTTAAACTACATCTCCCATATGGTGTCACCAAATCATAAAGACAAAAAACTAGCCTACCAACAATGAACTGGCAGACATAGGAGAAAAAAAAGAGGTGAGGGAAGGCGTTGGATAATTTTACTCTCAGTTTAACTAAAACTTGCTGTAATTTTCTGGATAAACCAATTAATCTCTGTGCCTTGTGTGTGTCCTCTCCTCTTCAGCAATGGAGTTGAAACTGATCCACCTGGGGAAGTGAGTGAAGCATCATGGCTCTGACCTGGCAAGAATATGCTTAATTTCTTACTTGTCAATCACATCCAAAGGACTTAGATCCCAGTCATGGATGTTATGCAGAACATTGCTGCACTCTGTAGATATGATTTAAGAGCCAGCCTGACCTTTGCACTGTAATTGGGTCCTTCTTCCTCCCACCACCAATCAGGCAGCCAGGGTTGGGAACCAGAGAGCCTGAACACACACCATGGATCAAAATTAGAAAGCTGGGTGCATCTTTAGATCATTGCACAGGCAGATACTACCTAGGTAGTGCCAGAGAAGATCCTGCTTATTTTAGGAGAAATAGACATTTTCTTGCCTTCTGGTGGTGTTCATGGTCAAACAGGTGTTCTTCATCCCTATAAAGGCTGCACTCATCCTGGACACCTGAATTATTTTCTCTTTATTACTCTCTATTATTATTCTGTCTTCATCTCTATATCTTGAGCACCTATCTCATCACTAAGCCTTCCTGAAGGAGTAATTTGTTACAGTTTTTTGCAGTATCTTCTTCCTAAATAACATTTACAGTGTTGTGCTATTCTTAGAAGTGACATTACGAAAGCAGCAACAAAGGGCTCCATGTTCAGAGAGGCTTGATACATTCCTAATTAAATGTGGTTGAAAAACACCTCAGAGGGTGCTAGGTATCTAACTTTCATGCTGAAGACTCAAGGTGAGATCTGACCATCGGCCAGGCTCTCCTTCACTTCACAGCATTGCCAACAGTGATGAATCTGCAGCACAATGCACTGACTGACAGCTTCACTGGGGCTCAGACGCTTTACAACAATGAGCGATCTCTCCCTAGGGATCTCCTCGGCAACGCTCCCCTAAGCAAGTGCCTCATTGGGAACTGCAGCATCCTCTGAAATGCCAGAGCTCAGCCACTGTAGCAAGCAGGAGTGGAACGTTTTGGGGAACCACATTCCAGCACAAGATAGAGCAAGAACCAATAAAGGGTGCATCCAAGACCTCCTCTAATGACCTGGGTGAAATGGTTTAAAAATTACCAAGCCAGCAGTTTGCTTCAGCTTCAATTGTTGCAACCATGTAGGAAGTATACCTCTTTGTGAACTAAACCATTTTAGTGTAATTTAAATTTTCCTTGCTAGGGTTGCTCTGAAACAGTCCAGGAGCTCACAGAGGATTTATCTGACATCTGATTTGCACGCTGTATTAATGTCCAGCTATGGGGCAGTAGCGAACCAGGAGTAGGTTCTTATGCTACGCAGTCATACCTGCACCTGTAAGGACCCTGCTCTATCCCCTTCATAGGAGTTAAATGGATTTTTTTCTAGATAGATGAAAGGCAAAGGTCCTATTTGAAATATTTTTTGAGTACTTTAGGTTTTTACTGTAGGTCATATATGTGATAGAATAGCCAGAGTTTCATGTAGGCAGCTAATTTTATTACTTAAATCAAAATAAATTATATATAGCAAACACCTGCTTTAGATATCAAAGTGGGCTAACATACCTATTCATCCATACTGAACTGATGTGCTGTTTTTCAGAGCAGAATCACACCTTGGGCAAATAAAAATACTTTCTAAAAATTATAAGCAATTTTTTTCCTTGTTATTGCATATTTGTGCTGTGTCTTAAACTATTCTATTTTCTCCATTCTTCTTTCTCTTCTAATTGAGTCAACCATGGAAACCGCAACCAAGGTTGCAAACAGGTTCCCAGAAATACATTACTGTTTTTCATGTGGACCTGCAGCAACTGGTTGGACAGGAATGGCCCTTCTCCCATTAGATATTATGTTCATCCTGCCCATAACATACTAGAAGTCAGAGTCTCATCTAACCTAAGGGAACTGTTTCCTTTATTCATTTCCCCACCAAACTGCAAGTGCCACAATAATATATTCTGACTAAGAGAAATAAAAAGGTTTCTGTAGCTGTAGTTTGGGTTTCTGTATGCTGCTGAAAGAGGTCAGCTCTGTTAATGGCATGTGAGAAGTATGTAGACAAACGTGCTCACTGCTGGGCAACCACTAGCCTTTAATGTGTAGACAAATCAGCAGAGACTCATATGTATGTTTTATTAATTCTTTCTCTATCTTGGTCTGTGCAGGCCTGGTGCATGCAGTTATTTAGGAATTTACATACCATTGGTTCTAAGGTTTAAGGACAGATAAGAAAATTTATTACTACTACACAAATAAATTCAGTGATGCCTTTGGAGAGTCAAGACCTACATATAGTCATGCTGCTGTTCTGCTGAAAAACTGTGAAGCAGGATGCTAGCACCTATCGAAGCAGGAAGGTATGCTGCAGCTCACAGTCACCTTATTCTGACACTCAACAGAAGAATCACACCCCATCTAGTCCAATGTTTTGTTTGCCCTGTGAATTTTAAAGACAAAGAGGAACAAAAGATCCAACAATTCCAGCGACACGGTCTAAAGCATATACAAAATTATACTTCCCTTACAAATAGAGTTCCTTTATAGTTGGCTTTGGAAAAAAAAAAAATAAAACAACGAACAAACCACAAACAAACAAAAAAGGTCCAATCAATAAAAACCCCAAAACTTTGCAGCTTTTCCCATTCTGTTTGACAAAAGTAGAACATATTGTTCTACATGTGGGTTTTTTTTATGGCTCGCTTTCCAGCTCAAAACCCTAAGCTGGGGGATAAGAACAAGGGAAGCTTGGAAGAGTAGGTTTATTGCAACAGATGCATGAAAGTAGTTCTCAGATTGCAAGGCATGTGACCAAAACATGGACTACAACAACAAGCAGTGCAGAAACAGCAAGAAAACATGGTAGTTGCTTCTGAAAAAAAAACCTGCAGTGTGCATAGGGCAATATTCATATTTCAGCTCTTAAAGTCACTCAAAGCAGTAAGCATGATCACCAGCTGCTCTGTAAGCTTCATATAATTGAGAGGTATTTGAATCAGGTATATGTGGCTGACCTTCATAAACCAAGTTACATTATATTCAGGTTAGTTTCCCCACTTCCATACAAAACATCATAGGCAGAGTGCTAGATGTGTTTTTACCCTTTACATATTAAATAGACCCAATGTACAGAAAACAACAGCTGCTCATGAGCCTTACCATAGAGCATGGAAGAGCTCAAGAGTTTGCTCCCTTATTCACGAAGACAGTAAGTGTATCAGCATCTGTGAATAGCCTCTACCATCAGGAGAGTCATTGTCAAGGATAAACTAAATAAAACCTCCACGAAGCGTGAAAGATCAGTCTGATTTCTTATTCTGACAGAATCACCGATAGTCACTTAAATTTTGAATCCCAGCTGTAATCCTCCCCCAAAAATCCTTTCCAAACCCAAGACAGCTTCTTGATCAAGCAAACAATGACCGCATAGAAGGAAAAAGAAGGCTTGCAATATGTAGTCCTAAAAAAATGTAAAGGACTATGTTTGGTTGCATTGATACATCCTTGGTACAGATATGTCAGGGTAACACTTACATATAAGAGAATTGTTTCACATACCTCTGGTTCTGAAATACGTCAAGAACAGATCTCCATCCAATGGGAAGTCAGCTTCATATGTAGAAGATAAAGGTAAGCTTCTTCCCCATGAGCACGTCTCTTTATGCCGTGACGCCACAAGGCTGGAAACAACTTGGCAAACAGGCATAAAATGGTGAGCATCTGTCCCTGTGTCCCTACAGACTTTACCCAGAGAAGTTCTTGTTGGAATGGGATTCTCTTCAGAAGATCCTGGCCAGAGGAGGCCTGAAGTAACTTCTGACAATTTACCTTCAGAGAAGACAGACCACTAGGAAGTAATGAAAAAAGACACCTGATTGTATGGGTATTGGACAGGTACAAGTCTATTTCCAGCAGAAATGTCTTGATCTCTCCACAGAAGAGTCACTCTCGTTCACCATCTCTAAGGGATCTAATACCACTGTATGAGGGAAAATTTTAAGTTTCTTCCATAACCTAGCCCTCTTCCATTATATCTCATGGATCTGGCTGGGACCAAGGACACAAAATGAAAGCTTCACTGCCTTCTGGTTATTCTACATTTGTGGCAGCAGGAACCAACATGTGATAAGGCCACACCACAGTCGAATGGGTATCATGGTACAGCAGGATATATGTCTCAGGTGAGTCAAATTCTACTGGCAGGTGGAAGGAAATAGAGTGATTACATATGGACTCATATTCTGAAAGCAGAATTTGATGGAGTGAATCTGCCCTAGCTGATTTTACTAATGACTGATTTTATTAGCATGTACCACATTTAAACCTCCCATCAGTACAGAAAAGACTGCATAAGTTGGAACAAAATAGGATCTCTCCTGCTCAAGTTATCAGAGCTCCTGCTGGACAGGGCTGAACTGAAGTTCACTGGAATCCTAGGCAAAGGCAAGCATTGCTATGGACTCTAGGACCCAAGCAATTCAATGCCTATTAAACCACTTACCTTTGAGAAGGTAGGGCCCATGGTGCTTAAAGTGGGGTGAGGCTCAATGTTTTGCTGACTGCTGTTGAAATTGGTAACAGACTTTGCATATTATATCACCAGGTTTTTTTGGTTGTATTTCACATGCAGTGTTTTTCTGCTTTTGACTTTGAGGTGTGAGGGGGAAGGCTCTAATCATATGGCCTTGTGCAGATGCTCCATTTGCATTTCTATTAATCCAGGCCCTCCTGGAGACGTTTGAGCATAGGCACAGCATGCTCTGCGTTTGAACTTGTGAGAACCCACACCACTGCTTAATAACTTAATACATATGTATAGCCTCCTTCAGCAGCCCACTAGGAGGCAGAAGCAGGGGGAGGTGCTATTAGTGCATAGGCTGCAGGGCTCTATGTAAATGCATTTCGACAAGGAGGATACCTTGCCGAATAAAGAATCCAGCTCCTTAGCGCTGGGCTGGTGCTGATTTAGGTCAGAAAACTTGTTTTACCAGAATTTTTACAAATGAGAGCTCACATGGATCTGCTGGAGAATATTTAAGGTGTCTGGCAATTTTGCTCACAGCACTTGAATGTAATAATGATACTTTCCACACAAACTATCTTACAGGAATAAAAAATAACTCTGAGTCTTTGTTCCTCTCTACTGTCCCTTCCCTGAACACCTCCTCAGAAAGACACCCAACCGTGTTTCAGCAAAGTGCCACAATAACCATAAGAAGCACAGTTTCACCATGTATGAAGTGAGCAGTCAATGGTTTAGAGCAGCAACCTCTGGGCATAACTGGGCTGAGATCTCTTACTAAAAACCAGCTTTCATTGGAAAACAGAGTCAAAAGAGGATGTTGTTTATAGAAAATATGCTTTGGAGCCCATTTCTGCAGAACACTTGGAGGAGGAGAGACAAAATTCCCACATATGTTAGCAGAGATTGGTGCAGACAGGGCACCAGGGACACCAAGTTCACATGGCTGCACAGCCTGTGGCTGCCCTGCATCCCCCACCAGTGGGGATAGCGGCAAAATCCCTCCCACCCCAACACATCCTTGTCCATACAGAGCCACCCAAAGACACTGCCAGTCACCTTGGCTGCTACTCCTCCCTGAGACATCCTGGTCCAATCTGAAAGAAGCTAGATAGGGATTTAAACAGGGCTTGACCACATCCAGAGTGAGTAGCAACAGGTGGGAGAGAAAAGGGAGGAAGGACTAGTTCTGAATGTCTCCTTTTTTCTCCTCAAAAAGTTGCACTGTTTATTTTGATGCAAAATAAAAACTATACTATGTCTCAAATTTCCTCTTTCACACCACTCCTCCTGCCATAATTCCTGATTTCCAGCCAGTTCCAGCAGATGTAAGTAGTTAACATGAGACACTCTGGAAGGACAACACCATCATTTTCCTACGCTTAAAAAAGAAAGTGTCCATTACCCTCTCCACCCCCAACCCACCTCAAGTCCCCATTAAAGTCTTCCCTATACAGGCCTAGCTCACACTGAAATTGCTTTACATCAAATTCCAGGAAGAGGCTCCTAGCTGTCCCGGAATAAACAAACTGGGGAGTAGACGGGTGGTGTGGAGGGGGAGAGACTGACATCAGCTGTAGACAAATGGCCACACAGGCAGGAATTGATCAGGCCATAGCCTTTAAAGTGGCAGCTGAGACAAATGGAAAAATGACATGCTGAAAGCAACACTGAGAGAGGAGGAAGAGCCCAGGTCTGAGAGTCAATCTTAGTCCATCAGGTAAAGAGAACAAGAAATGGATGGGGATAATTGGTGATGAGACACTTGAAATTAGGTGCATGATAGGTCCCCCACTGCCCAGCCACATTCATTTTTCTTACACTCCACGAGCACTGATGGGCAGGGATGAGCTAAGAATATTTCTTAAACCTTTGCATTCTCCTGTCACATTTCCATGACTCCGTATCTTCCTCACAGAACACAGACAATTGCCTTATGCAGGCTGTCACCCACACAGTTCTGCTGTGGATGTGTGGCTGCAGGCAGAGCTCGCGGCACGGGCCCTGCCCACGTTCCCACAAATCTCGGCAAAATACAACAAAGCTCAGCCTGCCCGTGGCCATGTCCTCACCCCGACACTACGTGCTGCTTGCAGCAGCCCACCACAGCAAATGAGATGAGGGTCCAAGACAGGGCAGGGTGGCATCCCCAGTGTGTCCAGCTGGTGGGGAGCTCTGGGGGCAGGGGCGAAGGGCAAGGGTAGCCCCAGCCTGCCCTCACCCACACCTGTGAGAGGATGTGGCAGATTAAATCCCAGGCTGGTGAGCAATGGGAGAGGGCTGCTCCTCTGCACTGGCACCCATGTCAAAATTACGCTTTCTGATTTCTCTCATCTCAAAGTCCACAGAGACAGCAGGAGGTGGTGGGGAGGAAGGCTAGCAGCCCACAGGCCAGGCAAGGTATGCTGTTTTGAGCAGAGCACCTCCAGGAGCACCTCGGGAGCCACAGAGGGAACCCAGCCGCCACAGCGTGCCAGTGTCCCACCTGTGCAGAAAGCAGCCAGCCAGCACAAGGCCTCTTTTCCCCCCACCCAATTAGCAGCCAATGGTATGAAGTCCTCCCTCAAACCACAAGTGCTGTAGCTGAAAAAGGCAATGCCCAGCCTTGCAGGGACAGCTCCTGCCGTCCCACAGAGGAGCAGCCGTTCCCTCCGACAGCTGCAGGCAGCGGCACGCCTCACCGAGGCCAGCAACGCCCGCTGTTTCCTTTTCTTCACGAGCTTCTTGCAAATGACATGAACCCATACTTATTAATTTACATTAAGTTCATTTAACACCAATGAAAGAGACCAGAAGTGTCTAATGAGCAAACTGTAATGAGCTACCAGCAACTGCTAATCATGTTCAGTTTATGCATTCTTGCTTCATTCTTATGGAGTATTATTGTAGAATAAATGCTTTGCTCTTATCTTACAAGAGGAAAAAAATCTCTAGGTATTGTACCAGTGAATAACAAAGGAATGAACAAGCTTCTGGTTTTCCACGGCATATAATGATAGAGATGCTGTGAATTCTGTGGACAAAGTACATGAAGAAGTACCCACAAGTACTGAAAATTTAATTAAAAGTCAGAAAGCCATTGCAATGAAGACTCAGCAGAAAGCCATTTATTTTTAAAATCTAATATATTCTTCATGACTAAAGGCTAAAGCACATGCTGACTTACACATTTAGCTGTAACTGATTTAAGCTACTTGATGATTTTTTTGCGCACAGGGTGGCGCTCAATTTGCAATGGAGTAAATTGGCAGAATTTAATTTGGTGGATTTTTTTAACTCTGCAAAAAGAATCCTCATTAAAACCGCACGATAGGCTGTATACTTTTTTCATCATTAACCGGCCTAACTGCAGGTAAAAGAGATACAATTATGGATTTATATAAATCCTATTGTCAATTTACAGCTCAAAGACTGGTGAGTTACCTCATTTTACATAGGTTATTTTTTCCCCTTAACCTTTCTTTGTTTTAATGAGGATTTGGTTTGTCATTGTCAGGGTGCTTTTTTGCAGGAAAGTTTCTCACTATGTGAAGGAGGTGTAAGGAATAAGGACAGAAGACTTTCTACTGAATTTGAAACCGCATCACAGACTGTGGTCCGAACATTAAGTCTTTAAATATTCACTTTTCCAATGAAGACAGACCGACCTCACGCTCTCAGCCCCACAACTACTTATGTCTCATACTTTGGGGCTTTCCACCTCACTCATGCCCAGTTTTCCCTTCCTTGCTGTACCTTATTTTAATCCCGCATCCCAGCAAAGCACCATAAAATTCTCTGTTCTGCGTCATTCAGTACCACAGGCAACTCCAGGTTCAGACCACATGGGCTGTGTAGAAAATTGATTGGAAAATGCAACTTAAACCCAGGAACTCTCAAATGAAGAGAACAGCCAGTGCTGTCACTGAGAGATCCTTCTGCTCAACAAGAGTCCAAAGTCAGAAACAAGGTCCCACAGACTCAACGAGGCAGATTCTCAGGTGACAAATTGCACAAGTTACAGCAGCTAAGCAGCTGTCCCACTAAATGCTTTTTTCCATTAACAGAATCACAGAATCATCTAAGTAGGAAAAGACCTCTTGAGATCATTGAGTCCAACCTTTGACTGATCACCACCTTGTCAACTACCATAGCTCTAAGTGCCATGACCAGTTGTTTCTTGAACACC